TCATCTCGTGTCCTCGCTGCTTGCCCCTGAGGGAGACCCGGATGCACCAGACATCCCGACCCCGCGCTCTTACGCTGAGGCGATAGAGGGTCCCTACTCCTCTCAGTGGCAGGCAGCCATGGATGCAGAGATGGCTTCCTGGAAGTCCACAGGCGCCTACGTCGGCGAGGTTCCCCCACCTGGGGCGAACATTGTCAGTGGCATGTGGATCTTCAGGGTGAAGCGGCCGCCGGGTTCTCCGCCTGTCTTCAAGGCGCGTTACGTGGCTCGAGGCTTCAGTCAGCGGCAGGGAGTTGACTACTTTTAGACCTTCTCCCCGACCCCGAAGATGACCACTCTTCGGGTTCTGCTGCACGTCGCTGCTCAGCGTGACTACGAGCTTCACTCCCTTGACTTCAGCACTGCTTTCCTACAGGGCAGCCTGCACGAGGAGATCTGGCTGCGCCGCCCACCTGACTTCACTGGGTCGTTTCCTCCTGGTACCCAGTGGAGCCTCCGGCGGCCAGTCTATGGTCTCCGCCAAGCGCCCCGTGAGTGGCACGACACACTGAGGACTACGCTTGCGGCTCTTGGGTTTGCTCCTTCCACTGCTGACCCGTCGCTGTTTCTTCGCACCGACACTTTGCTGCCGCCGTTCTACATCCTCGTGTTCGTCGACGACTTGGTGTTTGCTACAGCTGACACTGCTGGACTCGCCCACGTGAAGTCCGAGCTGCAGAAGAGACACACGTGCACAGACCTGGGTGAACTGCGCAGCTATCTTGGCTTGCAGATCACTCGGGACAGAGCACGGCGCACCATTACCCTGACTCAGTCACACATGGTGCAGCAGGTCCTTCAGCGCTTCGGCTTCACGTACTCCTCGCCTCAGGCCACTCCTCTGTCTACTCGCCACTCGCTCTCAGCTCTGCCTTCGGATGAGTCCGTAGAGCCGAGTGGCCCGTACCCAGAGCTTGTTGGCTGCCTCATGTACCTAATGACCTGCACTCGACCTGACCTCGCATACCCTCTTAGCATCTTGGCACGCTATGTTGCTCCTGGGAGACACCGACCAGAGCACATGGCTGCAGCGAAGAGGGTGTTGCGCTACTTGTGCAGTACGTCGGGCATGGGGCTAGTGCTTGGAGGGCGGAGTCCAGTGGTCCTCACTGGTCACGCAGACGCGTCTTGGGTTGACGACCTGGCTACGCAGCGGTCGTCACAGGGTTACACCTTCAGCCTTGGTTCCGGCTCTGTTTCGTGGCGATCTACTCGCTCGTCTTCTGTTCTCAGCTCCAGCTGTGAGGCTGAGATCTACGCAGGGGCCATGGCTGCACAGGAGTTACGCTGGCTCACCTACCTGCTGACTGACCTCGGTGAGCCGCCTCGTTCTCCTCCGGTTCTGTACGTAGACAACAAGGCCATGCTGGCCTTGTGTCGGGAGAACAGACTGGAGCACAGAACGAAGCACATTGCTCTTCGCTACTTCCTTGCTCGTGAGCTGCAGCAGCGTGGCCAGCTACGTCTTGCTTACGTGGCCTCCCAGGCCAACACTGCTGATATCTTCACCAAGGCACTTCAGCCTTGTGACCATCAGCGCTTCTGTACTATGCTAGGTCTTGTGCCTACTTGGCCTCACTTGCTTACCTCTTGACTTTTCTTGTACTGTGATCTATATATACCTGCACTTGCCTGTTTACCTTTTATATATAATCCTGCATGTGAACTGGCCTTGTGGCCTTTGAACCTGTGCTCGGAATGTGTGGTGACGTCGTGATCCACCCTGAGCTTGCCTTGTTTTTGCTTTGCTTGACTGGTCTTGTGACCCCTTGTTCTCCCCCACCTTGCCTATGGGGGTGTGTCAAATATCAATCTCATAGCCTGTCTAGGCTGTAGTGGGGTAGACACTATGGGGTACAGTTTTCTAGGGTTTCATATTTGTACCCAACTCATTTCCTAGTCAATCATTCATTCCTGTTTCTTCACACCAAACGTACCTGGACAACCTGGCAGCAGAACGAGACCTCACGGGCGGCTTCCGTGGCAACCGAGCCTTCGCATCGCCAGCAGATGAGGCTGACTGGGACAAGCAAAACGTGGACGGAGCATCGGAGGAAGCCGGACCTTGCCCTACTGTTCGATGCCCGTTCCAATGGATGACGAAAATCCTCGCGAAAGTGTCAACGCCGAAGTCTACTACGAATTCGCCGACAACGGTTACGTTACACCCCAACCCGTCAACACCAACATCTCCGAACGCATCTGACCCAATTTCATACCTGATCCAGAAGCGGGAGACGAAGCAGTCTATCCCGAGGACCCAACTCTTCACCGACTCACACAGAGTGGACTGCATATTCTCGGCCTCGTCACCGCAGTCCACGGAGCATCGCCGCCACGAGAGCCTACTACAGTGCAGCAGGCTTTGGGGGGGGAGCACTGGGAAAAATGGCGCGAAGCCATGGACAGGGAGTTAAAGGCGCTGGAAGACTGAGACACCTGGAAGATGTACCCATCGGAGTAACACGCAACAAGACCATACTCACGGGAAAGTGGGTCTTCTGCGTAAAAACAAAGGCAGACGGAACAATCGACAAATTCAAAGCACGATGGGTCGTGCGCGATTGCGACCAAGAGCACAGTCGGGACTTCACCGAAACCTTCGCGCCGGTCAGCTGACATACCTCGCTACGAATTCTTCTCGCGATAGCCGCCATGAAGCAAAAGAAGCTCCGCCAAATCGACGTGGCCAACGCTTTCCTCTACGCTCCCATAGACGCAGAGATTTTCGTTGAGCAGCCGCACGGATCTGTCACTGACCCTAATCAAGTCTGTCAGCTACTGAAGTCTCTGCACTATGGCAGCAGTACCTGCACGCCCGATTAATCCGCATTGGCTTTCAGCAATTGCCACTCGACCAGGGAATGTACAGACTCACGAAGGATGCTGAGTACATCATGCTGATCGTATATGTAGACGATCTGCTCTACATAGGCTCCACCGACGGCATCACCACCTGGTTTGAAGGGGAGCTGCAACAGGATCTCTCGCTCACGGTTTCCTCCACTGTAACCCAATACCTAGGGCTCAACATCATCGACGGAGAGAATGCAATCTACCTCAGTGCCGCAAAATACGCCGACATCATCGCAAAACGGTTCGGATTAACACCAGCCGCCATCTCAACGCCTTATCGCTACACCGCCGGAAATCACCAAGAAAAGTCTAATCCGCTCGGACCTGTCGGACTACGGGACTACCAGCAAAAATTGGGATGCCTGCTCTTCGCAGCCGTCACCTGCCGACCGGATCTGTCATACTCGACGAGCCAACTCGCTACCTATCTCAAAAGGCCTGAAGCAGAGCACATGGCGGAACTCGATCGCGCACTACACTACCTCGTCAGCACACCAACGGTCAGCTTAACCTACCACAAAACCGAAACCACGATCCCAAAGCTAATCGGCTATGTGGATGCTGACCATGCAGGCGACTCCGGGAACAGACGATCACGCACTGGCTACATCTACCGACTCGAGCCCATCGGTCCTATCTCGTGGTAGTCGAGCAAGCAATATCTAATTGCTCTCTCTTCAGCTGAAGCAGAATATATTGCACTCTGCTCAGCCACCAAGGAAAGATTGTACCTTCGCGAACTGCTGGAAGAAGCAAAGCTGGCCCAATTACCCAGATTCTCTCTCTTTTGCGACAACCAATCGGCAATTCGCATAGCGAACAAGAACGGGTTCGCGATCCGGACAAAGCACATCGCCCTTCGTTATTTCTTCGTGAAGGACGAGATCGAGAAAGGGAGACTCGAGCTATCCAACTGCCCCACGTCCGAGATGGCAGCAGATTACTTGACCAAGAAACTTGGAAAGCAGAAGTTCGAGTACTGCATGCTGCTGACTGGACAGAGCCACGTCACCAGCAACGAATGCGATGACACTCCAGAAGCGAAGGGGAGTGTTGGAAACATATAGTTCGCACTTCTGTTGTGTCGAACGCTATAACAAGAACGAAGCAGACTCACAGCGAAGCAACACCGAGTCAACCAAGCCATAGCAGCAGGAGGTTGAAGCGAAGGTCAAAGGTCAGCAACCTCAGACTCGTTATTGAGCAGTTACCCGAGTCGTCGCTGTATCGAACCGCAACAGCAACAATTAATTAAACCTTTCATATTCCTTGTAATCATATAAATCCCTGTATCTCTTTGCAATAATCAACTTATCTTGTTCTCACACACCAATGCAAGGTGGCTCGATCAGCCTTCATTAAACGCTTCCGCTAATACATCACTTTGAGCCTAAGTCCTTGAAAACGATCCTAAGGGCCTTTCTCAGCCCAACAGTATTGACATCCGCGTATTCATATGCTGCGTCTCTGAGATCATGAGCACTTCCCAGTCATGGTGAGGGAGTGCTTGTGTCAGATACTCCACCCGGTTTCTTCAAGTCACCTCCTGGACTCGGGTTTTCCTGCTTCACAGCATCTGCGTCTTGCTTGTTTGCAAACGCTTCTAGAGACAGAAATGGGCGGCTGTTTTTGTCGCCACTTGGCTGCACGAGGCTCTCGTGTATCAAGCTCAACTCACAGCAATGCCAGCATTCATGGTTGAACTCCACGCTGAACATGCGATACCCAAGCTTCTCCAATGTGTAGACCAGTGCCAAGGTGACCTCGGGCTTATTCGTTCTGGTGGAAAAGGGGTTTGAGAAAAAGAGAACGAAGTTGAGTCACTATGCTTTATCAAATAGGTAAGTGCCCTTTTTCTTTAGAGAAAAAAAGAATGAATGATGTTTCCCAGTCCGCCAAATGGAGTGTCAAATGGAGTGTCACATGGCCGGGAGAACGAATCCAGACAAAGCAACGGGCGGCAGTCCTTGTCACTGCCTAGTCGCGTTGTGCGCACACAGCTGAGTGTGTGCACATCCTTTTGCAAACGAAATTCAGTTATGGAAGTATATCATATTTGGTCTTTAAGTCAACTCACTGTTGAAATGCCTGAACCACATCAAGACTTACTGGTGAATCTCGATCAAGATCTGCCCGAACGGCAGCGTCCCTCCGTGCAAGCTCAGTTGCGCAGATACATTCCCATTCGCCTCCCCGATCTCTGCAATCAGCGCCTCCTCACACCCCTCGCAGTCAATCTTGAAAATGTCCACATAAGTATGATTCAACAGCTGCATGATCCCTCCCAGAGTCATGAACTCCGCACCAGAGAACTTTTGGCGGTTGTACTCGAGGGAGGAGTTTGCAGAGAGGCCGATGGGGTGGAAGATAAGGGAGGGGACGGTCTGCATGTGGGCGGCGGTGCTGGGTTGGAGAAACGGGTCGAACGTGTGCGGCTGCACGTGCAGAATCTTGTGAATGGCGTCTTCAAAATCGTACTGCCCGAAACTGCCAATGCTGTGGAGGGGAATGATTGGGCACCACACGTGGAAAGATCGATGGGAGAGGTGAGGCGCACACAAGGTGAAGAGCCGGGCTACCCATCCGTTTTGATCGCTCACACTCGCGCGCACACACGCACATCTATTTGATTCTCAAATATTGCTCACTCACAAGGTGAAGATCTGGTCTACTTATTTGTTCTACTTAAACTGCCCCATCACTTGCCCATGACTCGTCACTCGCTTCTGGCCACCCTCACCTCCTCAATTCCCTCATCTCCCCCCTCTCACCTGTACACCACAGGGTCCGTCTGAATGGCGCCTGGCAGAAGGCAAGTCCACTGATATTGGCGTTTCGGGAAAGAGGAGGGGGTTGGGCAAATGGAGATTTGTGTGGGTAGAGGGAGATTTGTGTGGGTAGAGGGAGATTTGTGTGGGTAGAGGGAGATTGGGTGGAAAATCGAAGAGAGAAAAGAGTTGGAAGATTTCGAGCTGCAGCTAGCTGGGGTTGTAACACACGAGGTTCACTTGAGCACGGGTGCACTTGAGTTACATTTTTTTTTTCTCAAAACCGATTCAATGATGGCTGTTTCTTTCTCAAGCGTGCGCATCAACGAATGCAGCAGCGTTTTCCTCGGTCAACTCAGAACTCACCTTTCCGCCATCCCCCCACTTGCCAATGCGCTCGTTCACCAGGCACGAGTACGTGGGGATGAGAAGGAGCGTTTTCATGGTGATATTTGTCATCGACGCGGGTGGCGGGTAAAGCGTTCCATTGGACGCCTCCCGTCTCAGCACAAGGTTCTCCTGTAGAGGGTGGGGGCAGGGGAGAGTGAGCGGGGATATCACAAACTCTTGAGGCAGTTTAGAAAGCACCGGGACAAGCACAACCGTCTTTATGCTGACATCAGTCATCGATGCGGGTGGCGGGTAAAGCGTTCCATTGCACGTCGTCCATCTCAGCACAAGGTTCTCCTGCGCGTAGTTTGTGGGGGAGGTTGAGGTGAAGGGCTGGAAGAAGATTCAATCATTCGACTTAAGAAAACGAGGAAATGAGCGCAATAGCCTTCACGTCGACACAGCTGGGAAACAGGAAACGCGGAAGGATAGGAGAGACTCGAGAACGCCACTTCACCACATTGTTTAAGCATGATAAGCTGCTGGTACACAAGGAAGAAAAAAAAAAAAGGCTCGGAATCGAAAACTCGCCCAGTCATGCTCTCTGCACGGCATGTATTAGCCACGTCAGTGGCGCTCGCTCATGCTGGAAACGAAAGCTCATAAGAATGACATGCAGCTGGTTCAGAAGGAGGGAAAGAAGAAAGACTTGAAATAAAAAACTCACCCAGTAATTCTCCTCTGCACGGCAAACGATGGCCGCGTCATTGCCGCTCATGCCGGGAAACAGAGCCTGAGCCCATCCGGGGATAGGCAGCTGGTTCGGAGGAGGCGCTGCCGGCTGGTTCGGAGGAGGCGCTGCCGACTGATACGCAAGCGACGCTGCCGGCTCGTACGGAGGAGGCGCTGCCGGCTGGTACGGAAGCGACGATGCCGACTCGAAGCCTCCGCCGCGGCTCCAGCAGCTGCAGAGCAGTCCGGGAGTCGACTGAAACACCATGTTGATGGGGATGACTATAGCGAGGATGATAACGAAGGGGATGACGTACGGACGGATGGCGCTACCGACCTGTTCGGTTACACTAGGAAGCTTGTTAACAGCTGGCTCGGTTCTCGCGTACACTGGCAGGCCTGACAGGTTTTTGTCAGCCATTTTCGGATCCTCCAAAAAAAAAAAAAACGAGCCTTTGTATGTAATTCTCGCGACTCGATCTGCTGCTAGGGACTGACGGTCCTGATGACAAGGGCTGGAACGGCGAACTAATCTATGGTCACCGTCAGTTTGGCGTCTTTGAATGTGATGAAGAAAGCTAACAGAGCTTCAGATGAGAAACGCAGTCTAGTTTTGAGTCGACTCAAAAGCGCTCTTTGAATGTGATGAAGGAAACTAACAGTGCTTCAGTTGAAAAACTCAGCCGTAGAGGCGACGGGAGCGCAGGTGAGGGTGTCTCGTCAGATGCATTGGGAAATGCCTGAATGCAAATGGTTATTTGCCACAAGAAGTAGAAGGAGAAAAACTCGCACAGCGGAGACATTCAGGAGCTCAGAAAATACCCGAATAGTAGCTTTCACCTGGTGCAACCCACCTGGCCCCTCTTCAGAACACCAATGTCGAATGACGTCGCGGCCGGCAAACTGGGCTCGACATTGAGACATACTGGTAGTCACGGCCTTGAACATGTTCCAGAGACACCCACCCAAGACCTTGCTCGGCTTTATCAGTCAGACTGAATGAAATGTCCAGTCCAGCCATGGATTCACTCAGGCAGTCAAGTGTCCATGACGCAGAGCAGAGTAAAAAATAGGTTCAACCACAGTTGAATTCTGGCCGGTAAGGCTTTCAATGCGATTTCTTACGGTACTGAGGTTTTCTGTGGGGCAGGACTTGCAGAGGCCCGAGTGGATGTGTGGACGTGGCTGTCCAATCAGCGTGTCGGCGAGGATACCTAAATTGTTTTGGCGGGCTTTTTTCTTGGCCAGCATCCGTCACCTTGTCTCGCCCCTCGCCAATCGGAGTCGATTAGGGCACAAAGAATACAAAAAAACCACGGCTGTTGATTGGTCAGTTTTTTCGTAATGGTGGCGAAAAGCCGGATTCCGCGATAAAGGGTGACAGGAATGCAGGAACGAATGCATCTGCATTATTTCACACGCCTAAACCGCTTACTGGTATTATTTTCCATATGCACTTGTTAAAGTTAAATTGAGCAGATGCTTCGCTCCACTAGGATGCAAACCAATCCGTCTTGATAAAAATGCTGTCCATGTCCCCCAGAAGGAGGGAAAAAAAAAAACGATGACATCTCATAATAATTACCATTGATGGTTGTTCCTAATTATTCATCCAGAGTCGCATTTGGCCCATTCACGGGGTTGTACCAAGCTTTCATGAATGAAGCTACCTGTAATGCATAGGTCACATAAAGGATTGTCCTCAATGTGAAACATTCGATATCCAACTGTCTCCAACGAGTACACCAAGGAAAGAAGCTCTTGAGGTTCGTCAGCCCTGCATCCAGAGAACAAGGGTGTACAAATAACATCATAAATTATGTAAACCACATAACTGTTGTTATATATATATACCTGTATATATATAATGAATATAAAAGGATGCACGAACTGAATAGCTGAAAAAGCATTGAGTCTTACTCATGAAAGTCGACGACGAGTTGTCCAAAAGAAAGCTTCCCTCCATTGATCGCCAATCGAGCACCAACAGATGGGTCCACTGCATCTTCCCTCCCCTCCTCATAGTTCTTCACTCCACCGCTACCACTACCACTGGCCCCTCCTGGTTCGGCAACCGCACCTCCTGGTTCGGCAACTGCACCTGCTGGTTCGGCTGCACCAGTACCTGCAGCTGTTAGTGCTGCCGGTTCTGCTGCTGCAGCTGCGTCTGCTGCTGCTGCTGGTTCTGCTGTTTCTGCTGGTGCTGCTGGTTCTGCTGTTTCTGCTGGTGCTGCTGGTTCTACTGTTTCTGCTGGTGCTGCTGGTTCTGCTGCTTCTTCTAATGATCGGAACTGATCTACCTTCTCCCGCATGCCCCTCCCTGCTCCCTGTGCACTCCCATTCACACTGCCCTCAAACACATCAAATATCACCTCCTCCTCGCACCCCCCACAGCTGAGCTTCAGAATATCGATGTATGTGTGGTTGAGATCCTGTTAGGACAGGGGAGGAGCAGGGATATTGGAATGTTCAGCGAGACAGAATGTCAAAGAAGGCCTCTTGGCCTCCTTCTTTATGGCCACTTGCATACCAATTTGTGCCTAAAAGATAGAGCAGGGCGTGTTGGGATGTTCAGCGAAACAAAATGTCAAAGAAAGACTCGTTCTTCATGGCCCCTTGCATACCAATTTGTGCATCTTTCCCCCTTACTGTCCCATTCTTTTGAGGCACCTCAAAAGAATGTGCCACTTCCCCAATGCAGTCCCATTCACGCTGCCTGCATACATGCAGTCCCACTCACGCTGCCTGCATACATGCAGTCCCACTCACGCTGCCTGCATACATGCAGTCCCACTCACGCTGCCTGCATACATGCAGTCCCACTCACGCTGCCTGCATACATGCAGTCCCACTCACGCTGCCTGCATACATGCAGTCCCACTCACGCTGCCTGCATACATGCAGTCCCACTCACGCTGCCTGCATACATGCAGTCCCACTCACGCTGCCTGCACACATGCAGTCCCACTCACGCTGCCTGCATACATGCAGTCCCACTCACGCTGCCTGCATACATGCAGTCCCACTCACGCTGCCTGCATACATGCAGTCCCACTCACGCTGCCTGCATACATGCAGTCCCACTCACGCTGCCTGCATACATGCAGTCCCACTCACGCTGCCTGCATACATGCAGTCCCACTCACGCTGCCTGCATACATGCAGTCCCACTCACGCTGCCTGCACACATGCAGTCCCACTCACGCTGCCTGCATACATGCAGTCCCACTCACGCTGCCTGCATACATGCAGTCCCACTCACGCTGCCTGCATACATGCAGTCCCACTCACGCTGCCTGCATACATGCAGTCCCACTCACGCTGCCTGCATACATGCAGTCCCACTCACGCTGCCTGCACACATGCAGTCCCACTCACGCTGCCTGCATACATGCAGTCCCACTCACGCTGCCTGCATACATGCAGTCCCACTCACGCTGCCTGCATACATGCAGTCCCACTCACGCTGCCTGCATACATGCAGTCCCACTCACGCTGCCTGCATACATGCAGTCCCACTCACGCTGCCTGCATACATGCAGTCCCACTCACGCTGCCTGCATACATGCAGTCCCACTCACGCTGCCTGCATACATGCAGTCCCACTCACGCTGCCTGCATACATGCAGTCCCACTCACGCTGCCTGCATACATGCAGTCCCACTCACGCTGCCTGCATACATGCAGTCCCACTCACGCTGCCTGCATACATGCAGTCCCACTCACGCTGCCTGCATACATGCAGTCCCACTCACGCTGCCTGCATACATGCAGTCCCACTCACGCTGCCTGCATACATGCAGTCCCACTCACGCTGCCTGCATACATGCAGTCCCACTCACGCTGCCTGCATACATGCAGTCCCACTCACGCTGCCTGCATACATGCAGTCCCACTCACGCTGCCTGCATACATGCAGTCCCACTCACGCTGCCTGCATACATGCAGTCCCACTCACGCTGCCTGCATACATGCAGTCCCACTCACGCTGCCTGCATACATGCAGTCCCACTCACGCTGCCTGCATACATGCAGTCCCACTCACGCTGCCTGCATACATGCAGTCCCACTCACGCTGCCTGCATACATGCAGTCCCACTCACGCTGCCTGCATACATGCAGTCCCACTCACGCTGCCTGCATACATGCAGTCCCACTCACGCTGCCTGCATACATGCAGTCCCACTCACGCTGCCTGCATACATGCAGTCCCACTCACGCTGCCTGCATACATGCAGTCCCACTCACGCTGCCTGCATACATGCAGTCCCACTCACGCTGCCTGCATACATGCAGTCCCACTCACGCTGCCTGCATACATGCAGTCCCACTCACGCTGCCTGCATACATGCAGTCCCACTCACGCTGCCTGCATACATGCAGTCCCACTCACGCTGCCTGCATACATGCAGTCCCACTCACGCTGCCTGCATACATGCAGTCCCACTCACGCTGCCTGCATACATGCAGTCCCACTCACGCTGCCTGCATACATGCAGTGCAGTCCCACTCACGCTGCCTGCATACATGCAGTCCCACTCACGCTGCCTGCATACATGCAGTCCCACTCACGCTGCCTGCATACATGCAGTCCCACTCACGCTGCCTGCATACATGCAGTCCCACTCACGCTGCCTGCATACATGCAGTCCCACTCACGCTGCCTGCATACATGCAGTCCCACTCACGCTGCCTGCATACATGCAGTCCCACTCACGCTGCCTGCATACATGCAGTCCCACTCACGCTGCCTGCATACATGCAGTCCCACTCACGCTGCCTGCATACATGCAGTCCCACTCACGCTGCCTGCATACATGCAGTCCCACTCACGCTGCCTGCATACATGCAGTCCCACTCACGCTGCCTGCATACATGCAGTCCCACTCACGCTGCCTGCATACATGCAGTCCCACTCACGCTGCCTGCATACATGCAGTCCCACTCACGCTGCCTGCATACATGCAGTCCCACTCACGCTGCCTGCATACATGCAGTCCCACTCACGCTGCCTGCATACATGCAGTCCCACTCACGCTGCCTGCATACATGCAGTCCCACTCACGCTGCCTGCATACATGCAGTCCCACTCACGCTGCCTGCATACATGCAGTCCCACTCACGCTGCCTGCATACATGCAGTCCCACTCACGCTGCCTGCATACATGCAGTCCCACTCACGCTGCCTGCATACATGCAGTCCCACTCACGCTGCCTGCATACATGCAGTCCCACTCACGCTGCCTGCATACATGCAGTCCCACTCACGCTGCCTGCATACATGCAGTCCCACTCACGCTGCCTGCATACATGCAGTCCCACTCACGCTGCCTGCATACATGCAGTCCCACTCACGCTGCCTGCATACATGCAGTCCCACTCACGCTGCCTGTATACATGCAGTCCCACTCACGCTGCCCG